ATGAACATGCCTGACTCCACAACAATCACGATGTGGATCACTTCCACCACAGCAATCCCTCACTCATCTCAGCAGCAAACCTTCTATATACACTGCTAGGCACACTGATGTCTTTCCGTCAATATACACTTCCCATTCTTGAGGTTTTAGAAAATAGACTATTTTTAGAGAAAGTGTAGATACACAGCAAAATTGAGCAAAAAGCACACAGAGTTCCCATATATCCCTTGCTCCCGCACATCCATTCTCCTCACTGTCGACATCCAGCACCAAGGTGGCACACTCCTTACAATTAATGAGTATTCACAGACACATCATTGTTACCCAGCATATAATTTACATTATGATTAACTCTTGGTATTAACCATTCTATAGGGGTTTGGATAAATGTACAGTGCCACATAGCCACCACTGTAGACTCAATAGAGAAGTTTGTCTTAGAAATCCTCTATACTTTGCCTACTTATCCCCCCTTTCTCCTAACCCTCGGCAACCTCATATTACTGCCTTTGTAATTTTTGCCCTTTCCAAAATGTCAGATAGTCATAAAGCATGCATACTTCTCAGATCAGCTTCTTCGACTTAGTCATATGAACTTTAGTTTCATCCATGTATTTTCATGGTTTGATAAATCTATTCTTTTTAGTGTTGAATAATTCAATTGTCTGGATATACTACAGTGTATGTATGCATTCATGTCCTACTGAAGGACATCTTGGTTGCTTCCAACTTCTGGCAATTATTTTTTTCCTGGTACCAGGGATCAGGACCTTGTGTTTGTCAGGCACTTATTTCACTGAACTATCTCCCTAGCCCCACAATTATGAATGAAACTGCTATATAAATCTATGTGCAGGTTTTTGTTGGACATTAATTTTCAACTCTTGGGTATGTATGAGGAACATGGTTGTTGGGTCATATGATAAGAGTTCAATTTTTTAGGATATTTCCAAACTCTCTTTCAATGTGACTATACCATTCTGCATCTCCACCAGCAATAAATGAGGTTTCCTGCTCCACGGCTTCCTTGGAATTAAATGGAGTTTTTTTCTTTCTTTTTTCCTCACTGGGGATCGAACTTAGGACCTTGCACTTGCCAGGCAGCCACTTA